AACCAGGTCCTCTACCGTGGCAAAGGCGGACAGCTCGGGAAACAGGTAGGGCAGTAGAAGACGGCCTAGAGCAGCAGTGGCAGGCGAGGAGTAACGGGCGACTACAGCATCGTACAATGCCTGTGCTGTCCTGTGCTGTCCGAAGTGAGCGCATTCGGCTAACGGCAGATGGTTGCGAATGGCTAAGCGAGCAGCAGCGTCACGAGTAAGCCACTGTGAGCGAGTCGCACTGTCAGCTGTGGCGGGATGGGCGGGAGTAGCACCAGACGTGTGGTCAAACAGTGACACGCTTGTCAGAATCCCAGTCACTAGACCATTGGGATAGAAGGGCTTGTTAAGTAGCGGGTCAGTGCGCCCATAACCCCCCAGAACAACGAGCTTGTAACCCTTCCCTAGGATCAATCGGGGATCACCAGTGGACCTCTGACACCCCCCCGCACTGGGATGCCCGAAGTGCACACACTGGGATTCGAACCCGAGACCTTCGCTCTGATACCATGTCAGAATCCCAGTCACTAGACCATTGGGATAGAAGGGCTTGTTAAGTAGCGGGTCAGTGCGCCCATAACCCCCCAGGACAACGAGCCTGTAACCCTTCCCTAGGATCAATCGGGGATCACCAGTGGACCTCTGACACGCTGTCCCTAGAGTCGCTTAGTAGGTACAGCTGCAGGTCGTCAAGCCACGTTTCAAACTGGATCGGGCGGCCCTCATGGTCGAACGCTAGAACGCGAAGAGAGGCCATAGAGGCGCAGCACGCAGGGCGGGCAGAAGCCGGCAGCATAGGGAACGGGGCAGGTAGGAGAGAGGGGCGGCAAGTAGGCTGCAAGAGAGGCGGCTCGAGGGCCTAGGGTTGGCTAGCAGGGCAGCAGGGGCGGCTAGGGGGCCACCAGGGGCGGCGCGCGGGGCTGCAAGGGCGGCTCGCTTGCTGCAGGGGCAAAGGGGCGGGCCGCAAGTGGCGGCGCGCGGGGCCTGGGGTCGACGGGCTGGCCGGGGCCTGGGGTCGATGGGCGACGGGCTGGGGCCTAGGGGCGACGGGCGAAGGGCCAGGGCTAGGTGTGATGGGCCCGGGCCTAGGGGGGCGACGGGTGACGGGCCTAGATTAGGGGCGACGGGCCGGGGCCGAGGGGGCCGACGGGCGACGGGCCTAGGGGCTAGGGGCGACGGGCCGGGGCCGGGGCCTAGGGGCGACGAGTGACGGGCCGGGGCAACGTGCTTAGGGGCGACGGGCTGGGGCGATGGGCCTAGGGGCGACGGGCCTAGTTGCAATGGGCCGGGGCGACGGGCCGTGGCGACGGGCCTAGGGGCGATGGGCCGGGGCTAGGGGCGACGGGCCTACGGTCGACGGGCCGGGGCGACGGGCCTAGGCGACGGGCGTAGGGGCTGTTAGAATTTAAACTGTCTGAATAGGATCGTAGTCTTAGGATGGTAGCTTCCTGTCGTAGCGGAAGTCTTATATGAGTGACTTGTAACAGGATCAATGTCTCTGAAATCAAGTATATTATAAAATGACAAGCATACAGAATATATAGCTAGACTAAAGTACCTGTTCGCCTACTGTGCTGTATTTATTCGCGCTATTCCTGTTCTGAAACGGTACGTGACTATTCGCGATACCTACAGCTACTGCTGACGTCATCCTAGGGCGCGTAGCGCTTTGCTGACGTCAGTCTATCGGTACTTTTACTGTACTAACTATACTACACGAATTCCTTGAACTGCATAAACCTCGATATTATCTCAACACTCCCCTTCACTTCTAGGAGTTCAGTGTAGTCATCCTGTTGACTCGGAAATACCACTGAGCTGGTTGCAGTGATGAAATTTCTGACGCGTCAGCTTCTTAGTAAGCGAATCAGCGGCCATGTCACTGGTGGAGCAGTAGACAAGGCGCATTCTCCCCTTGTCGATCGCGTCTTTTACGAAGAAGTAACGCAGCGAAATATGCTTCGTGCGATTAACGAAACCAGGCTTGTTGGCGATAGTAATTGCACTCTGGTTGTCGCACTGCAACGTGAACTGACCTTCGTCAAGCAATTCCTGCAAGTACAGACCTTCGCGAGTTGCGGCACAAGCGGCGATGAATTCTGCTTCAGCCGAAGAAAGTGACACCAGTTCCTGTTTCGAAGAATTCCAGGAAATCGGACCAATCGGCTCGAGACGAAAAATATAACCCGTGCGTGACCGTCGATCTGACGTGTCGCCAGCGTGGTCCGCGTCATCGTACCCGCTAAGGTACATTTTGTCGGTCGGCTTCCCAGCATTGAAAGTCAATCCAAGTGTTGGTGTAGAGACGAAGTAACGTAACGCACGCTGTAAGTCGAGAGAGTGTTCTTCTTTCGGGCAGCGTAAAAACTGCGCAAGGTGACTTGCGATGTAGGCAAGATCAGGGCGACAGGTGACTGCTGCGAAAAGAAGACATCCCAGCTGCTGCTGATACAGTTGAAGACCAGCTGCTGACAGATTTTTCAGGTTGGGAACGTGCCCAGTGAGTGTAGACCGATAAGGTGTAGCAACGAAATCCGTGGGGATGTTGAAACGCTTAGCGAGTGACTCCGCATACTTCGAAGCCGTGAGATGAATAGCGGAAGAAGTTCGCGAAACGTTTAACCCCAGAAACTGAGTTACTTTGGTGGAAATGGTTAAGTCAAGTGACTTCTTCAGATCAGCTTTGATACGATCACCCAGCGAAGTAGACGAACTGATGTAGAGGATGTCGTCCACGTAAGCCACTAACAACGCATAGCTCCCCTTGTCGTCTAGCCGGTACATCCCTGGATCGTGTGGCAGTTGTCTAAACCCAACCTCCGTCAGCTTCCTGTTCAAATGCTGCTGCCACAGTCGCGGTGCTTGTTTGATTCCGTACAGTGATTTTTTGAGCTTGCAGACACTCGGCGGATTTGTCGGATAGGTGTGTGGATATTCGACGTAGATTTCGGCATCGACGTCAGCGTACAGAAAAGCGTTGGAAACATCGATTTGTCGAAGTGGAAAATTCTTCGCGGCTGCTTCGCAAAGAACGAGTCGAACACTCGTATGTCGACTGACCGGGGCGAAAGTAAGTGTGTAGTCGATCCCATGAGTCTGATCAAAACCACGAACCACCCATCGTGCCTTGTGTTTCTCGTAAGTACCATCCGCTTTAGTCTTCACCCTGAAGACCCACTTACCGGTAAGAACATTTTTGTTTACCGTTTTTTCAATGGGTATAAGATCCCAAGTTCCCCTTTTCTCCAGGGCAGCCAGTTCGCGATCTATCGCTTCACGCCATTTTTCGCGATGAGGCCCTGAGAGAGCTTGTCGGGCAGTTTTCGGCTCCAAATTCACTGTAGAACTGTGCTGTACCGCTGCTGCGAGTCCCAAAAATTGCAGTCCGGTCTGATAATGCGGATTATCGTCGGTGCGACCTGCGAAATTGACAGAATCATTCTGGTCTCCACTTGCCCCCCCAATTTCGTCAGGGTTGACACGGATGCTGCTATCAGAAACCACCGGCATTGGTTGGCGTTGTTCATCCACGAGGTAAGTATGATGAACATCCCGAACATCCTCAGGTGCCGTGTCAGCAAGAGGAATAAACTCCGGAATTCCGGATGACGTGACAGGGACAGGTGGGTCGGGAGCAGCTTCACGTGCACCGTCAGAGTCAGGTTCTTCGCTGCCAGCAATTTCGACATCGGCGTTAGCAAACGAACGAACACCGTGGAAAAGCGTGGCAGGGTTTTGCTGTGAAGCAAGATGCTGTTCGAAGACGGGCAGCGTCAGATTCTCGTAGAAAATACAGTCGCGAGCAGGAACAAGGAGACGACTGCGATAATCCATGATACGCCAGGCAAAATATTGTTTTTCAATGCCGAGATGCAGCCCCCACTTAGCACGCTGATCGAACTTCCCGAGCGGAGCAGTAGGAGGACGATATTGTACGATACACCCAAAAACTCGAAGAAGTTTCGTAGTGCCCAATTTTCCTGTCCATAATAAGTGAGGTGATGCGTTGTTGGGTAAAGCTGACGAAGACAGGAGGTTGTGCAACAGTGTTGCATGGTCCATTGCGAAGGGCCAGTAGAGTGGGCCAAGTTGAGACTGTGCAGGAAGAGCTCGCATCTTCTCTTGCAGAGTACGATTGAGGCGTTCAGCTACACCGCTCTGCTGGTGAGCGTGAGGAAGTGAGAACAGGCGCCGTATGCCTCTTTTTTGCAGGTACGCTGTAAACTCGAGGCTGCGATACTCTCCAGCTCCGTCACACTGGAAGCTTTTGAGTTTGGTGTCGGACTCGCGTTTGGCGAGAGGAAGCCATGTCTGAAACGCTGTGAAAGCAAGAAAACGATTAGTCATGTTACCAGTCCAGACATATCGAGTAGAAGCGTCAGTGAACGTGATAACATATTTCTCGCCGTTAAAACCCTCCGAAGGTAAGTTGAGAATATCACTGTAAACTTTTTCCATCAATCGATAATCCTCAGCGCCAGGGAAATGAGTGGGGAACGGCTCGTGCGGTAGGTTCGCTGCAGGGCAGATGGTGCAGGGTGCCGGGCGATTCACCGGCGTGAGTTCGAGACCGCTCGGTAAAAGTAACGAATTCTTGTTAAGTACTGCAGCCTTGATCGTGTTGTTTAGCGTAGACTGCGACGGATGACCAAGTCGTTTATGCCATGTTTCTCCCGTGGCTTTGTGACCTTGTGCGCGCAGGTAATACTCGGCGTTAGCGAAGAACGACAACAGAAGCTGATGACCATCGGAGCGGATCTGATCGAAAGCAGGTGCTACGTAACGAGTAAGATTTGGTGGTGGAACACGAACCTCAACATCCACGTACTCGCCTGGAGCAAGTACTAACTCGCCGCTTTTTTTATCAGATGCTGCAGGTACAGGTTCAACTCCAACGAGACGACCCGAGTCAAGAATCTCCATATCAGCGACGCGTTGTTCAGCTTCAGCGAGAAGACGAGCAGCGCGTTCAGCAGGCGTCTCGCCCCAAGTTGTTTCATCGCCTGGCTCCGATGGCGCGTGTCGGCATCCTGCTTCCCTTCCCCCGCCGCGTCCCCCCGTCGACATCCCGCGCGGCCCTAGTATGTAGCCCCGCCGCGGCCCCCGCGCGGCACCTTGACTCTCCTAGCTCAGCGCGAAGCTTCCGCGCCTCACTGTGCGCGCCTAGGGCGCTCGCGGGGATTGTCGGAAACGACAAACAGCTACTGGCCTCCGCTTGCGGCGGAGAGGGCGCAGGAATCGGCGCAATTAGAGGTGTGTCCATCGGCGCTGGGGGTAGCGCAGCAGACGCGCAGCTGCGGTCGTCGGAGGAGAGGAATGGTGGCGCGGAGGTCGTGCGGGCTAGCGCGTCTGGTGGGGCGGAGGGAGGGAAGGAGGGGCGGGGCAAGGGGAGGGTGGGGAAGAAGAGCAGATCGAGCTACGGCGCGGAGCACATTCAGGTGAGGCGGGTGCTGGAATGAGTGCTGTTGGGTGCGGGAGGGAGTGCTGTTGGGTGGAGTAGGCGGAGATGAGGGACAGGTGACGACAATGAAGGGAGGAGATGAGCGCTTCCCTCCCACCATGCCCTCTTGCCTCTGTTCTCTAGGCAGCGCCTGCCCTGTGCCGTGGCTTGGCAAGGCACCTCACAACTCGTTGCCCATGTCGCCCGTGACTCACATCACGCCCGTGCTGTGCGTGCTGCCACCCACCCACCCACCCGCCCCCCCTTACCTCCCCCCACGGGCAGGTGCTGGAGGGGTTGGAGCCGGTGCGGAGGCGGCCAGGCATGTACATTGGCAGCACCGGGCCCCGAGGCCTGCACCACCTGGTGAGCCCACCGCCTTGCACTGCTCTGCACTACCTGGTGAGCCCACCGCCTTGCACCGCTCTGCACCACCTGGTGAGAGCCAACCGCGTTGCACCACTCTAAACCCTAAACCCAAACTCTAAACCAACCGTAAACCCTGAGGGGGGCGGGCCATGAGGTGCTTGGACATGGGTTGACCTCCCACCTTCCCACCTGTCCCCCCCACACATGCATGCGAGCAGGTGTACGAGGTGGTGGACAACGCCATCGACGAAGCGCAGGCGGGCCATGCCAGCACAGTGGACGTGAGGTGCTCTAACACAACTTGAACCCCTGCTCCTGCCCTTCCATGCATACATGCATGCGAGCAGGTGTACGAGGTGGTGGACAACGCCATTGACGAGGCGCAGGCGGGCCACGCGAGCACAGTGGACGTGCTGCTGGGGGCTGATGGCTCCGTGTGCGTCACTGACAACGGGCGCGGGGTGAGAGGGTGTGCGCTCAGGGCAGGGCTTATGGTTCAGGGTTGGCTGGAGGATGGAACTCAGGGCGGACTGGGGTAGGGTAATGGTTACAGTCACCAGGCCAGACCGTGCCTTTGTACTGCCTGTGCTGCTGGGGACTGAGTGGGTATGTGTGAGGGTAGGGTTTCGGGTTCAGGGTACAAGGTCTGGGATGCGTGCAGGGCGTAGTGGTTAAGGAAGTACGATCAACAGGTAGTGTCTCGATCAGTATGTGTGTGCATTGCAGGCGACGGTAGCAGGGTTGATACAAGGGTCCGTAATATTGGGCCAGGGCGCAAGGGCGAGTACCGAGATCAGCTTTTATGGGCTAGGGCCAGCTTCAGTCCTCCAACCAACCTTGGTGTGTGTGTGTTCCTTCCTGATTATTCACTCTTCATACTCATCCGTTGGTGGTCTGGTTTGTTTGCCTCTGTGTACGTGTGTGCCCATCAACAATGCAGATTCCAACGGACGTTCATCCATCAACGGGCAAGTCGGCACTAGAGACCGTGCTCACAGTGAGTCACCCACTCGCCTCCCCTCACTGGAGACTGTGCTCACAGTGAGTCACCCACTCGCCTCCCCTCACTGGAGACTGTGCTCACAGTGAGTCACCCACTCGCCTCCCCTCACTGGAGACCGTGCTCACTGTGAGTCACCCACTCGCCTCCCCTCACTGGAGACCGTGCTCACAGTGAGTCACCCACTCGCCTCCCCTCACTGGTGGAGACCGTGCTCACTGTGAGTCACCCACTCGCCTCCCCTCACTGGTGGAGACCGTGCTCACTGTGAGTCACCCACTCGCCTCCCTTCACTGGTGGAGACCGTGCTCACTGTGAGTCACCCACTCGCCTCCCCTCACTGGTGGAGACCGTGCTCACTGTGAGTCACCCACTCGCCTCCCCTCACTGGTGGAGACCGTGCTCACAGTGAGTCACCCACTCGCCGCCCCTCATCTGCCTTCCATCTTCCAACTCTGCATGCTCCACGTCCAGCCTCCTGCATGGGCTGTTGCATTGCACCCGCTCCCTTTATCCACCCCATCCCTCATCCCTATCCGATCCACACCTTCCTCTTGCCAAGTCGGCATGACCTCGACTCAGCCCTCAGCCTTGACTCAGTGCATACCTTCCTCCTCGCTGCACCGCCTCTCCCTCAACCTCAGGTGCTGCATGCGGGCGGCAAGTTCGGGGGCGACTCAAGCAGTTACCGTGTGTCAGGGGGCCTGCACGGCGTGGGAGTGTCGGTCGTCAATGCTCTCTCTCAGGTGCCACTCAGGTGCCACTCAGTGGGTACCATGTACCATACTCTTCCTATCCAATACCCATAACTAGCTTGAAACATCTCTCTCTGCCAATACTCTCATGGACCCACCCCCACACCCCCATGTTCCCCCCTGCAGAGGCTGGAAGCACGCGTGTGGAGGGACGGGCGGCAGTACTCACAGCGCTTTGAGAGGGGCGTCCCCGTAGAGGGGATGAGGGTGGAGGAGGAGGAGGGTGCAGGGGCACACGAGGGGGGCGCGCAGCGCACAGGCACTCAAATACACTTCCTGCCCGACCCCACAGGTGCTGCAACGGCTGGTGCTTAGCTAAGAGATGTCTGTTCTTGTGTAAAAAGTTAAATGTGTACATATTCTGCCTATATCAACACGTATGCTTTTTGAGTATTGTGTAATTGTTCCGGAGAGCATAACCCGTGCCCCGTTCACCACACCCCCATCTCATCCTTTCACCGTCCATTCATGCTGCAGTCATGACACTAACACCCTCCATTTCATGGTGTACCCACCATGGCGCTTATTTGCCATCCATCGTCCACTCCCATGCTGCACCGACTCACTTCACTTACCTCCCACTCACCACTTCACTTCACTTACCTCCCACTCACCACTTCACTTCACTTACCTCCCACTCACTAGTTCACTTCACCACCGCACACACCCCTCGCTTTCATTCTTCACCACACCCCATTGCTCGACCCCACCACATGGGCTCGATGCTTATTCAAGGAGCCGCGTCCCCTTCCTTGCAGCGCTGTTTTCACCACCACCACCACTACCATGCCACTCACATCCCCTCTGTGTCCCCCACCTCTATCCCCGAGCCCTGTGCCCATTCCCCTCTCCGTCTCATTGCAGTCTTCACCACCACCACCGCCTCTGGCATCACCACTAAACCCCGTCCACCACACGCTTCTCCTTCCCCTGCCGCCCATGCTCCCTCACATCTTGCACGCTTACCACCATCACCGCCTTTCACTTCATCGCCCAACCATTCCTCTCGTCCCTTTCCCTCCTTGCGTGGTTCAGTTCACCACCACCATGGCATTGGCATCCCCCCTATCTGACCCTTATTCCCGTCCAACATGCCCCATACCCACTCGTCGCGCTCGCCCTCGCCTCTCCTCCCCTGGCAGTGTTCACCACGACCACGACCCTGGACTTCACCACCATCGCGGCGCGCCTCAGAGAGCTCGCCTTCCTCAACCCCCAGGCAAGATCACCCGTCGTCCCCTCTGCCGCCTCTTCATCGTATGGCCGCCTCTGCCGGTTCTGACTTGCTTACACGAGCCCTGCACTAACCTGAAACCCTCTCACATCAAGGGCCGCAATTCTGTCCCATGCTGATATAATAGGTGAGCCCTCGATCCACATGTAGTGCCTGCTTGCTCTAGCCAAGCCCCTCATTGATAGAAATGGAGCTGAACTGATTGATTAGTAGAGAAGGCACTAGGCCTTAAGTACAAAGAAGGTTGGGTTGAGCAAAGCTAGGGAAAGGATGGGATGGGAATCCTAGCAAATCTCCAATGGTGAGTTGGCAGATTTGCTAGATTACGAGGGAATCCCAACCAGATAGGGTTGGGATCACAATCTACACCCAACCTACAAGATATAGAATATAGTACACAAAGTGTTGACAGCCTACTTCTAACACTCATGACCGCCACGCCACATACGAGCGCTAGTGCAGGTAGTGCACGCGTGATAGTGAATCCACTGAGCATTCAGTGCGTGCGTCATGTCACACATGCAAGTTCGAATCACAGTCACGCCATGATGCAGCCTGGACAAGGTTGGAACAGGGCGGTCAGTGGCCTTCCACTTGCAGCTTGGCCGCGCCTGCATCCTCTCTTTTCCCCCCCTTTCCTTCCCGACACCTTCCGCCAACCCCTTCCCCCCCTGCACGCCCCTCTCTTGTTCCTCTCCACACTCCTTCCTGCCACCCCTCTTCCCCCATCTCCCCCCGCCACAGGTGGTGATTCACCTGAAGGATGAGGGGGGGCGGTCAGCGGACTTCCACTTTGCGGGCGGGCTGCTGGAGTTCGTGCGATGGCTCAACAGCGAGAAGGTGGGCTGCTTGGCTTGAGGCACGTGATGCCATGTGGGCATGGGAGCACATGTGGGCATGGGAGGGCTATGGCACGATTGCAGACGACAGTGTATGAGCTACTATGAGTGGAGAAACAGGATGGAGGCATGTGCACGGGTGAAGTGAAAGCATCAATTCCCGTACGCGGATTGGAAGCAGTGAGCACAAGTGTGAGTGGCCACAGCTCACCTCATCCGCTTGCCTCGTACGATTCGTGAACCAACAACACAACCTTCCCCCGCTTCTCATCCACTCTAACCGCTACACGCCCCTCTCCACCACTGCCCTGCCACGCACGCATATGCGCGCATAACCAACCGCAGACGCCAATGCATGAGGCACAGTGGGTGGAGGAGGAGAGGGACGGCGTGGGCGTGGCAGTGGCATGGCAGTGGAGCGTGGATGCGTACAGCGACAGCGTGGTGGGGTATGCCAACAGCATCCGCACCTCCGATGGCGGCACGCACATCGACGGCGCCAAGGCCGCCTTCACCCGCACCCTCAACGCTGCCGCCAGGAAGCAACGGCTGCTCAAGGTGGGTGGCTGAGAAACGTCAAGGCTACAAGCAGGCATGCTCAGAGCGAGTGGTATGCACGTGGAAAAAATAGTAACATGCTCCATTTTTCAAGCACCTTGTGCGCCTCTGCTCATCTGTGCCCCTTTTCCCTTGCCATCAGTCTCCCCTGCCTGCATTCTCCCTGCTTGCCCTCTCCCTGCCTGCCCTCTCCCTGCCTGCCCTGTCCCCTGCGTGCCCTCTCTCCTTTCTGCACTGTCCCCTGCGTGCATGTTGGCGGCAGGAGAAGGAGGAGAATCTGGCAGGGGAGCACCTGAGGGAGGGGCTCACGTGTGTGGTGGCCATTAAAGTGGGCAGCCCCGAGTTCGAAGGGCAGACCAAGGTGGGCAACCCCGAGTTCGAAGGGCAGACCAAGGTGGGCAACCCCGAGTTCGAAGGGCAGACCAAGGTGGGCAACCCCGAGTTCGAAGGGCAGACCAAGGTGGGCAACCCCGAGTTCGAAGGGCAGACCAAGGTGGGCAACCCCGAGTTCGAAGGGCAGACCAAGGTGGTCAGCCCCGAGTTCGAAGGGCAGACCAAGGTGGGCAACCCCGAGTTCGAAGGGCAGACCAAGGTGGGCAACCCCGAGTTCGAAGGGCAGACCAAGGTGGGCAACCCCGAGTTCGAAGGGCAGACCAAGGTGGGCAACCCCGAGTTCGAAGGGCAGACCAAGGTGGGCAACCCCGAGTTCGAAGGGCAGACCAAGGTGGGCAACCCCGAGTTCGAAGGGCAGACCAAGGTGGGCAACCCCGAGTTCGAAGGGCAGACCAAGGTGGGCAACCCCGAGTTCGAAGGGCAGACCAAGGTGGGCAACCCCGAGTTCGAAGGGCAGACCAAGGTGGGCAACCCCGCGTTCGAAGGGCAGACCAAGGTGGGCAACCCCGCGTTCGAAGGGCAGACCAAGGTGGGCAACCCCGCGTTCGAAGGGCAGACCAAGGTGGGCAACCCCGAGTTCGAAGGGCAGACCAAGGTGGGCAACCCCGAGTTCGAAGGGCAGACCAAGGTGGGCAACCCCGAGTTCGAAGGGCAGACCAAGGTGGGCAACCCCGAGTTCGAAGGGCAGACCAAGGTGGGCAACCCCGAGTTCGAAGGGCAGACCAAGGTGGGCAACCCCGAGTTCGAAGGGCAGACCAAGGTGGGCAACCCCGAGTTCGAAGGGCAGACCAAGGTGGGCAACCCCGAGTTCGAAGGGCAGACCAAGGTGGGCAACCCCGAGTTCGAAGGGCAGACCAAGGTGGGCAACCCCGAGTTCGAAGGGCAGACCAAGGTGGGCAACCCCGAGTTCGAAGGGCAGACCAAGGTGGGCAACCCCGAGTTCGAAGGGCAGACCAAGGTGGGCAACCCCGAGTTCGAAGGGCAGACCAAGGTGGGCAACCCCGAGTTCGAAGGGCAGACCATGGTGGGCAACCCCGAGTTCGAAGGGCAGACCATGGTGGGCAACCCCGAGTTCGAAGGGCAGACCAAGGTGGGCAACCCCGAGTTCGAAGGGCAGACCAAGGTGGTCAGCCCCGAGTTCGAAGGGCAGACCAAGGTGGGCAACCCCGAGTTCGAAGGGCAGACCAAGGTGGGCAACCCCGAGTTCGAAGGGCAGACCAAGGTGGGCAACCCCGAGTTCGAAGGGCAGACCAAGGTGGGCAACCCCGAGTTCGAAGGGCAGACCAAGGTGGGCAACCCCGAGTTCGAAGGGCAGACCAAGGTGGGCAACCCCGAGTTCGAAGGGCAGACCAAGGTGGGCAACCCCGAGTTCGAAGGGCGGACCAAGGTGGGCAACCCCGAGTTCGAAGGGCAGACCAAGGTGGGCGGACCACGGTGGTGGGGGGAGAAAGGCGAGATGAGCGAGTGGAGGGTGAGGGAGAGGGGATGGTGGAGAGCAGCATAGCTCATGGTCTTAAGTACTAGGCCAAGGGGCCCTGCCTCGCTCCCACCGTTGACACAAGAGAGAAGATGAATCTATGAATTGAAGGTTGGATGAGCGAGTTAAGGGTGAGGGAGACGGGTAATGCAGCAGGGATTCAATCAGTTCCTCTCCTCGAAACGTACCTTTCACTCTCTCCCTCGCATCACCTTTCCCTGTGTGTGTGTGTGTGTGTGTGTGTGTGTGTGTGTACATGTATGTGCATCAGACGCGGCTGGGCAATCCAGGGGTGCGCAAGGTGGTGGATGGGGTGGTGAGTGACGCGCTGGCAGCATTTCTGGACGCCAACCCGGCAGCGTGTGAAGCCATCCTCAGCAAGGCACTCGACGCCTACAAGGTGGGTGTGGATTTCGTGACTCGTCAAGGCATTGGTGTCCATGCTGCATGCCCGTCGGAAGCCGGAAGCTAGACCCCATGTTACGAGTCGGTGTTGCCATGCAGCCAACTGCTCGGTGTTGCCATGCAGCCAACTGCTGGCTCACGGGGATGGCAACCTGTACTGACACCGTGCCGTTCACTCACTGTGTTCTGCAAAGCCGCAAATATCTGACATGTAAAATGGGAATTGCCTGCTTCTGCCCCTTCCATGCCTGACAGGCTGCCGAAGCAGCGAAGAAGGCTCGGGAGCTGGTTCGGCGGAAGAGTGTGCTGAAGTCGGCCATGCTACCAGGCAAGCTGGCGGACTGCTCGTGTGAAGACCCTGCCAAGTCAGGTGCGCCTGGCAGTTGGGATGGGATGATGGAGTGGGAATGTGTGCATGGTGTGGTGCCTAAAGGGCAGCTCTTGATGCTGCTTCCCAAACGTGGTGGAGCTGAGGGAAGCATGCGTGCATGGCTTGGTGAACTTGGGTGCCACACTGTCTATCCATGTGCAGCACACTGTCTATCCATGTGCAGCACACTGTCTATCCATGTGCAGCACACTGTCTATCCATGTGCAGCACACTGTCTATCCATGTGCAGCACACTGTCTATCCATGTGCAGCACACTGTCTATCCATGTGCAGCACACTGTCTATCCATGTGCAGCACACTGTCTATCCACGGTTCCATGTGGGTATGTGCGCCATCCATGTGCGCCATCCATGTGCGCCACTATGCCTCCCATGTGTGGCAGAGCGAGGAGTTTGATCAGAAGGCGCTGCGCTACCATCGCATCATTCTGCTCACCGATGCTGACGTGGACGGTGCTCACATCCGCACGCTGCTCCTCACCTTCCTCTTCCGCTACCAGGTGCTCTCTTCCGCTACCAGGTGCTCTCTTCCGCTACCAGGTGCTCTCTTCCGCTACCAGGTGCTCTCTTCCGCTACCAGGTGCTCTCTTCCGCTTCCAGTTTCTCCCTTTGCTCCAAACATGCATTTTCTTCCACCCTTCAACCTCCTCTATGTTCCTGCATGCGACTCCTTCTCACGAACAGAAAAATTATGTTCTCATCCAATTTCATCCCTCCCTCGCCCCATTCCTCCCTGTTTGCAACCCACCTGGTGTGTCATGGTTACTGCATGGTGCGAGCAGAGAGCGCTCTTTGAGAACGGCCACGTCTATGTCGGCGTCCCCCCTCTCTACAAGGTATGGGTTTTTGTCTCAGCTCTCGCTTGTAAGCACAGGGTCAGATCGTCTTTGCTGCCACCAGTGCTCTGGGGACAGCTGATTTTCTTGAAACGTCCTCCCACACCCCACCGGCTTCTTCATCCTCTCACTTTCATCCCAACCTCCCCTCCTCCATCACCCCACCCGTGCAGGTGGAGGTGGGGCGGCAAGCACCGGTGTACTGCTACAGCGAGGCGGAGCTGCAGGCGCACCTGCGCTCGCTGCCCGCGTCTGCGTCCCCAACAATCCAGCGCTTCAAAGGTGCGCTCCTTCAGAACGTGTGTTCCGTCGGGTGCGCTCCTTCAGAACGTGTGTTCCATCGGGAAGGTGCATTACTTTCTAAGATTTGTTCCTTGAGAATGTGAGTTGCTTTAGAAGGTGCTTTTTCTAAAAAGGGGAGGAAATGTGAGACGTTGCTATGGGAGACGTTGCTATGGGAGACGTTGCTATGTGAGACGTTGCTATGGGAGACGTTGCTATGTGAGACGTTGCTATGTGAGACGTTGCTATGTGAGACGTTGCTATGGGAGACGTTGCTATGGGAGACGTTGCTATGGGAGACGTTGCTATGTGAGACGTTGCTATGGGAGACGTTGCTATGTGAGACGTTGCTATGGGAGACGTTGCTATGTGAGACGTTGCTATGGGAGACGTTGCTATGGGAGACGTTGCTGGACCCTAGCCAGCATTGCCTGACAGATATCGTCTCCCTCTGCCCTCCCTGTGCCCTCCCACTGCCCTCCCTCTGCCCTCCTTGTGTCCTCCCTCTGCCCTCCCACTACCCTCCCTCTGCCCTCCTTGTGCCCTCCCTCTTCCCTCCCTCTGCCCTCCCTCTGCCCTCCCTCTGCCCTCCCTGTGCCCTCCCTGTGCCCTACCCCTGTGCATCACCCCCTCAGGCCTGGGTGAGATGATGCCAACACAGCTGTGGGAGACGACACTGGACCCCAGCCAGAGGCGGCTGAAGCTCATCACTGTGGACGAGGCAGCACAGGCCAGTGTCACCCTCTCCGTGCTCATGGGGGATAAGGTGCGGTCATGGGGGATAAGGTGTGGTCGTGGGGGGTAAGGTGTGGTCATGGGGAATAAGATGCGCTCATGGGGGATAAGGTGCGGTCATGGGGGGTAGGGTGCGGTCATGGGGGGTAAGGTGTGGTCATGGGGGGTAAGGTGTGGTCATGGGGGATAAGGTGCACTCATGGGGGATAAGGTGCGCTCATGGGGGATAAGGTGCGCTCATTCTCATGTGCTAATGGGGGGGTATGAGGTGGGCTCATGGGCTCAAGGGGATAATCTGGGCGAAGTGGGTGGAATGGCGTGGGCTGAATTCGATGTAGTGGATATGCGTCCTCCCTGCTGAATTCTAAAAAATGCAGTGTATCATATCCACCGATCTGCTTGCACTGTTGCACACCCTTCACTACGCTCACCATGTGATGTGCCCTGTCCGGTGCGGTCACCTCGCAGGTGGGGCCGCGCAAGGAGTTGATTCAGACAGTGGGAAGCAGGATGGCAGCAGCTGGCTTGCTCGACATCTAGCCAGCACCGAACGATCAGGGTATATTTTATATTTTTGGGGGGCAGCACCGATTGATCGGTGTGCCCTGAATTCAATCGGAGGACCTGTCCTATTCATTCAAAAACTTCGTTCCTCCTCAGTACCATAATCACCCTGCGCAAATGTGAGTTTAACATCATAGTTGATTTTACATCACAGTTAGAGGCGCAAATACCGTCTCACCCCGGATATAAGCGCACCTGCGCTTATAATAAAACATGATTTTTCAGGGGGGTGCGCTTATAATTGAGTAAAAATATATAAGCGCATGCGTGCGCTAATAAAATAACAAATATACAATTTTAAACTACTAGCACGAAAATGTAGTTCGCGTCATTGCGCACCCAATGGAGTCGATTAGAAACAGGGTTGTGGGTGAAAAACTCTCACTACTTGGCAGGGAAAGATTCCCTGCCATGACATACACTCAAAATGAGTCACTAGGAGCTTCTGGCAGCACTTGCTCATTGGACACGCAGCCCATGCAGAGTTTGAATGCGAAGGAAATCTGATTTTCAACTCATCGCCTCCTAAAGTGAACTTCGCTACAGTAATTTGACCGTTTTTCAATTTTAAAACTACCATGTGCTTATAATAAATCATGTTTTTTAAGGGGGCACGCTTATAATTGAGGATCGGGCGTAAGCGCATTGCTGCAGATAGAAGCGCATGCGCTTTAAATAGGCCTGCGCTTTTATCTCGGGTGATACGGTGTTAGTTTTTGTTACGATATGGAATTGTTCAATAACATCCCTAAAGTAACGAATCCTTAACGCGAAGATGACTGCAGCGAGGACGAAGACCGAGCGACGCAGACAGTTATCTAAGACGCTTGAAAGCAGAATTGTCAAAGGAAGGTGTTAGAATGGTCTAAGCTACTAGCGGAAGCTATAGTAGTCTTAGAACCTCCTCCTAAAGCCTAGGAATCTTAGGAGCCAACTTGGGCATGAACCATGCTAGAACCAAAGTGGTTACCAACAAGTGAAGTTCCAACAAGAGAGAACCCTAACCTATAGGGTTAGGGAGGTGGCCCACTCTATAGAGTGTACACCACAAGTTCTCCCAACCCAACCAATGTATTCTACACTACTATAGTGTAGATGTATCACTACATATGTTTATTGGAGCAACCCGAATTAACCTTAATTCCAACACCCCCCCTTGCTCCAATAAGCATTAAAGTTCACCCATAAATCAAAACACAACCCCTCCAGCGAATGAAGCCCTGGCCTTTGCAGCCATCACTCGCATGCCGATGCGCTCCAGGTTCTCATGCAGCTGCAAGCTTGGAAGAGCTTTGGTGAGCATGTCGGCATCCTGGAGGTGGGAGCGTACTGAGTGCACCTCGACCTCCTGCTGGCGCACCGCATCCCGTACAAAGTGCCATGCCACCTTAACGTGCTTGGTGCGCTGATGGAGAACGGGATTGTGGGCAAGGGAGACAGCATCCTCATTATCACAGAGCAATGGAATAGCCCCCCCATCCCCCACATGCATCTCTGCCAACAAACTCCTCAACCAAATGGCCTCCTTGCCCCCCTCCGATAGAGCTTTGTACTCAGCTTCAGAAACGCTTGCTGCAACACTGTCTTGCTTTTTGCTATACCAGCTGATTGCTCCTCCTCCCAGCTTAAAGATGTAGGCAGAGCGACTCTTGCCATCAGTCTCACCACCCCAATCCGAGTCTGTGTACCCAACAACCTGCTCACCACCTTGGCGCTCATACCTGATGACACGATCAGCTGTGCCGACCAAGTACCTGAGTGCTCTCAGTGCAGCGCGCATGTGAATGCGTCTTGGTGCCACGCAGGACTGTGCAAGGGTGTTGACAGTGAAAGACATGTCAGGACGGGTGGTCACAGCAGCATACATCAAGCTGCCAATGAGACTCTGGTACACCTTGACATCAGCTGCAACACCTTCCTCAGTCGACCAAGTACCATTCCTGATCTTAGAGAGATCATTGGGTGACATTGGAGTATGCACCCTATGGGTCTCCTTCAGCAGATCACCAAACCTTCCCTGGAGACCACGGACATACTTCTCCTGACCAATCTCCAACCACCCATCCTTGACCGACCTGCGAACCTCCACACCAAGGTACGTGGATACCTCACATAGATCCTTCATCTGGTACCTCTGAGCAAGCACCTCCTTGACCTGACCGATCAGCTCCAAGCGTGGAGACACAAGCAAGAGGTCATCCACATACACCAATACATACACTGGCTCTTCATCCACAAACCTGATGTACAGAGCCTCATCACATGCACTGCGGTCAAACCCTGCTGCAATCAGGGTGGTACCAATCTCCTCATTCCAAGCACGAGGCGCTTGCTTGAGCCCATAGAGAGCTTTGCGCAAGCGATACACCCTACCTGTACCATCATCAAATCCCTCAGGTTGCCTCACATACACCTCCTCTTGAAGGACTGCATTGAGGTAAGCATGATCAACATCCTCCTGTTGTACATGCCACCCTTTTACCGCGGCTTCTGCAAGAAGCACCCGACCTGAGGTGAGCTTGCCCACAGGGGCAAATACCTGATCATAGTCCTTCTCGGGCTCCTGAGTGTACCCCTTAGCAACAAGGCGAACCTTGTGCTGTACCACCTTATCCTCCTTGTCAGTTTTCCTGCGGAAAACGTACCTGACCCCAATGGCCTTCTTACCTGGAGGTAAGTCGACCGGCTCTGGATCCCATACACCCATAGTGCGCATTGCATTTACCTCCTTCTCAGCGCCTGCCTTCCATGCAGGGCCCTCAGGGCCACGCAGGGCCTCAGCGAGTGTGCGTGGGACATCACCGGTGATCACACCTGCCAGTGCAACACCTTCCACCTCCCTGGACAAACACAGCATGCCCTCAACCACACCAGCATCCCCCCCTACCTCCTCACCACCTGTACCAGACCGGATACCAAGCACCTGCAAACCCGTAACCGGTGGTGGGGAGGTAGTCGCTGGTGACGGAGGGGCACCCGTAGAGAGAGGGACAGAGCGCTGACCAGAGGAGGAGCAAGAGGAAGTAGCCTGTGTAGCGGATCTCCGCTGAATGACCGAGGGGCCACTGAGCTGCTGCAGAGGGGTGGGCTGCTGCTGCACCGACACACTCAGCGGTGCCGGTGGCAGTGATGAAGGTGGCATCTCAACGTCGTCAGCCGGTGCTGAGGGTGGCGAGAGTGGAAGAGGGAGGAGTTGGGAAATCGCAGCTGCATCATGCAGAAGCTCCCCAAATCCCTTTGCCTTGTCCCAATCCTTCCACATCACATTCTCAAGAAAATCAACATCCCGAGCAATGCGAATGCGCATGAGAGAAGGGTCCAGCATGCGCCGACCCTTGCTCTCCATGTCCACCCCAACACAGACACACATGACAGCCCGTGCATCAAGCTTGCCACCCTTCTCATGCCCATGCAGCATGACACTCCCCATGCAACCCCAAATCCGAGCCATGCCCACATGCGGCTTCTGGCCGGACCACGCCTCCATTGGTGTGATGGAGGCAGGCAAAGCACTGTGGGTGACCCTATTCTTAACCCACACGACCCACATCAATGCTTCACCCCACAAGCGAGCAGGGAGACCACTGTCGACACTCAATGTGCGAATCCCCTCTGCCATCGTCCTGTGCCACCTCTCCACGACCCCGTTCTGCTGCGGTGTATCTGCGACACTCAATTGGGTTTTGATGCCAAACTCCGCTTTCCATGCTTTCACAGCGTCCCCCAAGAACTCGCCACCCCTGTCAGAGCGAACAGCCTTCAGCTTCCGCCCACACTCCAACTCCACGTCCTTATGCCACTGGCGAAGAACTTCTGCGACTGTGGCCGATTCCTTGTTGGGGAGTGGGAACGACCAAACTCGTCTGTTGAAGTCGTCAATGAGACTGAGGACATACACCGCTCCTCCCAGTGACGGTGTGCGCACTGGCCCCCACAAATCCATGTGGACCTCATCCGAAGGCCCAAGTGCCCGAGACGCCTCGTGGGGAAACGGCTTCCGAGCCGACTTTCCCAATAAGCAAGGTTCACATGGGGAGCAATCAGTGCTCCCCCCCCCGATCTCCAAGCCCAGTACACTGTTCCCCTGAGCCATCTGTTGCAATGTTGTGGGGGCGGTGTGACCAAGGCGGCGATGAGCAAGGGTCAATGGGGAAAATGAGGAGGAGGACCCAGCTGCAAGAGCACTGCCTTGTGTACCCCGAGCAAGAGGAAGAGACATCCGCACCAATCCATGGTCCCTGCCCCTCTCCTTTTCTCCAATCGCCAACACCCTCTCCCCCCGTTTAAGAACACATTTCTTGCCCTTGAATGTGACAATGACATCTCGAGAGGTGAGGTGTGGGACTGACATCAGACGCGTGTGCATCTCAGGCACAAGGTGGACCTTTTGAATCCTCAGCAGCTGACCTCCAGCACCAACCACTGGCACCTCACCCATGCCAACAGCTTTCACCACCCGTCCATCTCCCAATCTAACTCCCCGAACCTCTGGTGGCTGAAGCTTACTTTTGAAGTCCGATGCATAAGGAGTAAAGTTGTGGCTGGCCCCACTGTCAATCCACCACCCCTCTCGCGGCTGCTCCTCTCCCATTGCTGCAACTGCCTCTCCAACCACTGCCTCTGCCTTGTCATCCTGCTCCTCCTCATCCGCCACCTGTGCCTTGCCGTTGGATCCACGACCCCCCCGCTTTAAGAATGTCGGAATGCCTCCCTTAGGTCGATGAGGACATCGCTGCCATGCATGTCCCTCATCCCAACAGCCATGACACATCCCCCGAGGAGCCATGCCCTTGGACCCCCAGGGGAAATCAAGCACTCCTGCTTTGCCTTTTCCTTGACCCCATCTACCCGAGTTGGTGTCACTGCTGCTACCGTTGCCTCTATGCTTTCCGCCCTTGTCCCCATTTCCCCTGCCGCTGCTGCCCACTTTCGTACCCGCTCCAAAAGTGGCTACACCATCCGATCTTGGTGCGACA